GTGTGCCTTCGCTCAGGCCTTGCCTCTAGGCCGATGTCTTTGTGCTCCCTGACATAATCCTCCCCCTTCGAGGTTTCTGCCCTCAGAAACCTGGGTGCGTCTTCCTTGCGTTTCCCTCTCGATTTTCGCTAGGCTCTCTAATGCCGAATTTTGAGGAATGCGGGTGGCTCTTGCAATTGAGGGGGTCGGGTTTTTGATATTACCGGTGGTCACCTCATATGGCCATAGAAATTGGGTGTGCAAGTGAATCTCTTGCCGGTGCCCCTCGAAACCCTAAGGTTTTCATCACGATAGGTCCCACGATGTGATCATGTGACTCACGTTCCTTCGCCCTAGATGATATTTCTCGTTCTTACGCGATGCCTTGCAATCTTCTCCCTTTCCCACCACACCATCGACCTTCGTAAGTGTTCCGGATCCCCCAAATACGCGCGATCGCGCCCTATTTCACGATTGCGTTCGGCACGCCTCTAATTTGGCATCCTTGTCCTTGATTCGTACAGTTGTTTACGCGCAGTCTCACGGCACGCGAATTCGCAACGCTTATTCGGTGGCGGTTAGGTGGTGGCTAACTTGTTTCGCAGTTTCCAGATCGCGTTTCGTTTTACCGCTCTCGTCTTCGTCCCAGTAGGATTTCTCCGTGTTTTCCTTGCGCCTTAGATGCTTGCTGACGATTGGGATAGGCACGACTTCATCATGGCTCGTGTCAAGCGTGCCAAAGGCACCAAATTTCTTTCCAAGGTCTCCTTCCCCGAAGCTGTAGTCGCCCAGCCTGAAGTCGCGGTGAATTTAGCCTCGGTCTATGATAGTCCTGATAGCGATGATAGCGACGGTGAGGAGGTAGGTATGGCTGGTGTTCACTAGGAAATCGCTGACTTTTCTAGCTCGCTGCTTCTCCTGACCTTGGCGATGTTGATCTCAGGGATACCGATACCGAATCCGGTGCTTCTTCTCAGGAGGGTAATGAGGATAACGAGGAGGACGAGGATGACTCTGACGATAAGGATGATGAGGTCCCGTTCCCCGAGACCAGTTCGGTAGGTTTTCCTAGTCTTACCGTGGTGATTTCGCTGACCCGTCTAGCCCGTCCCTATCAAAGCCAAGAAACGTGCTCGTTCCCCAACCCCTGATGACGGGGACGATGAGGATGACGATGAGAGTTCGGTAGGTTTCCTTAGTCTTGCCGCTATGATTTCGCTGACTTTTCCAGCCCCCTCCCGTCAAAACCAAGAAACACCGCCGCGCCCTGACCCCTGATACCAAACCCAAGAAGCGCCTTGAGGGTATCGAGAGCAGTGACGCCATCGAGGCTCGTGTAAGTACTCGGAGTCTTTTCGCATGGAATTCGCTAATTCTTTTAGGTTTCCCGCGAGTCGGGTGCCGAGCTCCTGATTCCTTGCAAGGACTGCATCGCCCGCGTCTTCGCCACTGTCGACACTGGCAAGCGTTGCGCCGATCATACTGGTATTCTTTTCCAATTCGCCGTGAATTCGCTTTCTTCTGGCTGACCATTCCTTAGGCAAAGGCAAACGCTGTGCTTTTTGCACCTGCCGCAAGCACACATGCCGCCCCGTATTTTATCCTCCCCCTTGGTTATCGCTGTCCTCAGCGATTTCATTGCGAACTAACGTTCATAGATTCCTCCTAGTGATCTCGATGCGGTCGCGAATGCCGTTCTCGCGATGAACAAGGTTGCCTTTCCTCGTCCCGAGGAGGATGTAAGCGGAATTCGTTTCCGATGCGTTTTGAGGCAGTTTTTAACGTGGTTTTCTAGATCGACGAGCTCAAGGCTGAGGCGGCGCGTGCGAAAGTGCGTGCCTTGAAGGTTCGTTTCTGTGCGTCCTTAAACCCCAAGGATGTCGAAGGTCGGGCTGCCCTTGCCGCCATGCGCGCCCGGGAGAGGGAGATGGCCCCCCTTCTTCGCGGCGAAATCGCCCATAGTGTTATGGCAACTGAGGCCTCCGCGGTTCTGGCTCGGATTGACGCTCTGACGGAGTCGGTCGCTGTCATGAAAAAGTCCCTAGATCGTGTCAACGATCGATACAAGAACTTGGTAGGTGCCTGAATCGCTGTGAATTCGCGTGCGTTGCTGATTGGTTTCTAGCACGAGACTCTGGATGATGTGTTTGATGCCGTCGACTCGGATTAGGATCCCGAGAAAAACGGCGCAGAATCGGCGTCCGAGGATTCCTTGGGCGAGCTGGAGGATGGGGAGGTGGAGGATTTGTCGTCGTCGGGTTTCGAGGAGTCCGAGGACGAGTTCTATGATGCGTAAGGGCGAAATCGCTAGAAAGACGGAGTATTTGCGGGGTGAGCCTCTTCGTCTCTGTTTCGCTTCCCGATGGCTATAGAGCCGGGAGAATGCAGCGTAAATGGAATGAATTCACGCCGCGCCTCTTCGTAAATGCTGTCGCCTGAGGGATGCCTCATATTGACGTAGTAGTGGCCCATCGTTGATGTGTTTGCTTGGCTCCCACGAATTGCTTTCGGGCCCATAACCACTCCATTTAATAAGGTACTGACGGTCATCTGAAGGTCCTCGATGCTCCAAGATCGCTTCCACTTCCCATTCTTCTTGTTCCGCGATTTCAGCGTGTCTTTGCTGTGTGACCGCGTCTTCCTCCGAGCCATTCCATGGCTTGAGCAGGGTAACAGAGAAGACGTCGTGAATTCGGTATTCCGTGGGCAAGTCGAGTTGATATGCCATTCCTCTGTCGCCAATCACTTTGAGGATTTTGAACGGTCCGAGATACTTTTCTGCGATTTTCTTGCTTGGTCGACCCAATCTCAGGTGCTTTGTCGACAGCCAAACCTCTTTTGTAAAGTTTGGCGTGACCACCAAAGGGAACTCTTTCAGCGTCGATACCGACGGAGGTTTGATCTTTGACGTTGATAAGCGAGTTTCCCCCCCTCTCTCCCACCCCCGTCGCCTTGAACTTGTTTCCTGTCTACTTTCAATCTAAAAACACCGCTGACAAGAAATGGGTTTAGAAGCAACGGGGACATCACTAGCCTGCAGTACAATGGCGTCTAGTATCAAGGAACTAGCAAGATGACAGCCATCAACTCTGGGCTTGGCTCTTCTCAGGTCACCGCCGAGACCGTCAATGGTTTTTGTCAAGATCACCGTCGCAGCGCAATCCCAGCCCTTGACGCAATATTTCGTTCTTCGGCCCAACGACCCAACCATCTACATGGGCACCTATATCACGGGTGAGATCGACCCTGGGGAGCTCCGATGGCTCGCCCGTCTCCGCCGATCGGCGGTGCCAAACGGCTGGCACGGGACCGCCGCTGTCCTCGACGGCTGCACCGCGTTCGAGGGCAAGGACACGTTCAAGTGCCCAAACGGCGAGACACGCTGCAAGATGTGCACATCGGACCGCTTCATCGATGATCAAGTCCATGGAGTGACTGGCAATGTAAGAGACGCCTTCTGGATCCGATTCATGAATAAGCACTGACGCCTTCTTACTGCAGAATGTGGCAATCTGGATGATCATGCCCGGCGTGGCTTATGAAACGTCTTCGGGTGGTCCTTTCATGCGAGATATCAACAGCCAGAGCGGTGATGACCAGGAACTGTATTGGTACATGAACAGTGGGCATGTGCGCACAGAGCCCTGGAGGTTTGGTCTCATGGGACCATACGCCATACGTTTCACGTGAGTGGATGACTAATAAAGTGTTCCTCCTAGGTTACTAAACTCGATGTAGGACTGGAGCAAAGCCCTCATCTGATCTTGATACTTCTTTCTTCGAGTCCCTCTCTATCAAGGGGTACGTTCCTAGCAGCAAACGAGGGGCCGTGTCCGGCACTGCGACTGGGGTTGCTCAGGGGTTCCAGACAGTTCTTCACTGGTACAACAATGCTGCGCAGTATTGGACAACTGCTAGGGCTGGAGGGCAATACACGTCGCCCCAGATGAAGCCGGGAACATACACCATGAAGATGTACAGGAACGAGTTTCCGGTTGCCCAAGACTCGGTCGTCGTTACTGCGGGGGGCAACACAACGAAGAACATTGCATCCACCGAGTCCAACCCGTCAGTCATCTGGCGCATCGGCAATTTTGACGGCCAGCCGTTCGAGCTGAAGAACGGGGACAAGATTGAGCGGATGCACCCCTCCGGCGTGCGCATGGGACCGTGGGGCGGGAGCTACACGGTTGGAAAGTCGAGTCCTAAGGACTTCCCAATGGCGCTCTTTGCCAAGCAGAGTGGTGTTGCAACGGTCACGTTCAACCTTACGGCGAACCAAGCTTCTACTGAAACCGTCCTGCGTATTGGAACCACACTGTCATTCAAAGGCGGACGTCCGTCAGTCAAGGTCAACAACTGACAAGGAAGTGATCCTGGGGCGCCGGTACGTGTCAAACCCCATGGATCACTTTGCGAAGGTTCCCGGATGTGCCGAGCTAACTGCCGTTATAGAAACTGATCGACTCCCGGGGTGTGACGCGCGGGGCCTACCGCGGGTATGGGGAGGTGTACAGCTGGAAGATTCCTGCTGGGACTCTTCGGGCGGGCACGAACACTTTGACGATCGGCGTTTATGGTTCGGGGGATGCCACTTGGCTCAGTGCCAACTACATTGTGGACGCGGTGGAACTGCAAGGGCCCAGCGGTGCCGATACCCCGAAGTGAGGAGATGAGGCAAGGGTCGGCTACGCAGCTGATACTGCGGGAAGGGACAGGCAAAGCTGGTGATATGCCTGGAGGAACTACGAGGTATCTAAAGAAAAGAAAAAAATACGTGCCCAAGTACAGACCCAGTAGACCATACCCACAAAAGTTCCAGAAGAGGTCTACAAAAAGTCCACAAAAAGCCCCGTGTCTGCTTCATATTTCAGATTGTGGTTGGTTACCACGGTACGCGCCGGAAACCTGTTCGCCCGCCAAGAAACGTTCATTGCCCTTCTGATCATAAAAGGAGAGCTCTTGAGATGGCAATACTTGGGACTAGAGCTTAGCTGCGGTCCTGACTCGGGCATCCACCACCCTTCACGTCTTTCCGCAGATTATTTAGAGACTCAGGTGTCTGGGAAGCGGGATGGCTTATTCGGAAACGACCTCCCCCAGAAGCTTAGGGGTTTTGTTTTGTAGATTTGGATTTTTGCAATGTATTCGCGGTTTCCGGGACTGCAAGCCGCTGCTGAAAGCTAATCTCCTATGTCTTCCTTGACGAACTGCGGAAAACTGTATCTGGAAACATCCTAATGAAATGACTCGTTTGCCGTATCTCTTTTCCCCCGCATGCTGCTCTCGCCCCGCGGCCGCTGAGCACCGCATCCTTACCTTCGACGAAGGCCTCACTTTTGTTGCGTGCATTCGGGGTTTGCGGAATTCGCCGCCGGTCACCTAGGTGACGAGCGGGTACGTGCATCGCCCTGCGTGGGAGGCGAATGGGGTAAAGGTGAACGGGTTATTTTCCACAATAAATCGGCCTCCTTGGTCCGTTTTTTTGGGCATCGCAGTAGGATCCTAATCGTTATGTTTTCTATCGCAAAGCCGATGCCTAACACGGATATAGAGCCTCCTTGGTATGAATGTGGACGTCACCGCATCCGACCCTCCTTGGTGGATTTATATTCCTTTCGCGTTGGGGACTATGTTATTAACACTGGTAGTGTGGTTAATTTTTAAGAGTGATGTCAGTCTGACTAGTCGCTTTCTAGTTTATTGGTTGCCAACAACGTACATAGCTAGAGGGCAACATGAGCTGTTGCAGGTGCACAAGGTTTCGCAATGGGATGTCGGCCACTGGGACGTTGCGGTAGCGGATGATCCCGATACGGGTGGCTTGACGAGGCTAGGGAACCGCCTCCTCGGCGCGGGGTGTGGTGGGAGCTGCTACCTGTTGAGGTGGCTAGGTTCGAGCATGAGCTTGACCTTGCACTCGGGATTGGGTTGGAACTTGAGGTTGGTCTGGGACCGCTGTAGGTTCAGTGTCTCGGATGGGAGATCGCGGATGACTTCCCCTTCCTGGGTGACCTGAGAGCTCCCCTGCTGCTTCTTCTCGAGGCCCCGGTTCCACAGCTATCGCGAAGAAAGGCGCGAGCTCCTCTTCCAGGTCAGCTGCCCGGGCCAGAGCTAGCGCGCGCGCCACCGGTATTCACATCTCAGCCCCGCGATGTTCGGTCTGGAACCCTTCTTGGAACGAACAAGGCGTCCCCACCCTCGGGCGACTCGGCATTCGGATTAGGATCGAGGCCTTGCCGGAGGCGCAATATCAGCACGATAGTCAACTCCTGAGATATACGGGAAACGATGGCGGCGAAGAGCAGGTTTGCAGTCAGGTAAGCACTCCAACGCCCCCGTCCCTTTCACCCCCAACACGGCTGCCCGGGAGGGGGGGGGGGCGACAACATCTGTTCTGCTACACACAACCAAATCCCTCGCTATTCCGTCACACACATGACGCATATCAGCATAAAAGCCCAAACCCCCCAACCCCTCAGTCTTACCGACGTCCCTTATCTAATGCAACCCCAAAAAAGTTGACGGGAAACGCGGCCTTCTCCCCCTTGACGGGCCTGGGCGGCGGCGCGACATCCTTCCTTGTCACGGAATGCCTAGGGCGGGTGCGCAGGGGCGCGCCGGCCGCTGCCGGTGGTGGTGCCCTGGTGGTAGTTTTGGCGGGTGGGGGTGGCTGCTGCCGGACCGGGAGGGTAATACCGGACGTCGGCTTCGTCGGGGTGGGGCAGGTGGCGAGACGCGGCATATTCAAGGCGAAACCTTGAGGGGGGCTGTGGTTGGATTGGAGAGGGAAAAGGGAGAGCGAAGGCTGGAGGACGGACGGGTTTGGTTTGGTGTGGTTTGGTTTGGTGTGGAGGTTGATTGGTGGTGGGAAAGTGTGATGATGATGAGTTGTGAGAAAGGAGAGCCAGTGCCGGTTGGGGTTTATATAGGTCCTGTGAATAAGGCAGTGGCCAGAAGACGGCCGCTTGGAGCAGAGTCTTGAATTCGGCCCTCGGTGGCTGGCGTTCTCTTAGGTGGGGGGGGAGGCCAGGCCATGCCGTTGGAAGGGCACAGCCGAGATTGACCTTCCTATGCAAGTTTCGGATTAAAAATAGATCAAGTCGAGTTGGCCAGCCACGAGCCGTTGCGGCCATACATTTGGTCGCAGCAAGTATGGAGCTTCAGAGGCCGGAGTTAGAGCGTGAATGAGCAGTCTGAATCACTGATTTGAAGTGCATTCATGTTGCTTGAAATGAAACTTGCTTGGGACCAGCCTGGCGAGAGCGTTCAGGCACCTCACCTACACTCGCGACATATCCGGTTTTCCTTCGCTTATAGAAACACTTTGCGTGCCCGCCTACGGCAGAGTGACGTATCAGTGGGAGAAATTGCTCATGTTCCCCGCACGTGGTATAAGTCAAACGTAGATTCCAGCTGCGTTAAGTGAAAAAAAAAAATCTCGGTCTATTTGCTAAGATCTGATCCTACGGCAATACCAACAAGCACACCACCCACCGCTTGCAGTCGCCACCTAATATTCGCTAAACTCGAGCTCTTTCTTAATGGGGGCATACCTGCTCAGATTCTTGCCCCCGAAACGCTTTTTCAGCCATTCCTGGCGCGGTCTGGGGCTGGTTTCCCACATGGCCGGGATCCAGCCGCTGAACTCTTGCAGCGAGTTGTTCCAGTGAATCCGCATGGGGTTTGGGGGGAGTGTCGTGCCGTTATAGGGTCCGATCTTGCGCATCGTCTTAACGTATATCACTGAGATGCTGTAATCGATCAACACGACCCGTGGAATCGAGCTGGGCTGCGTTGCCGTCTGGCCTTAGGAAGTGGGAGGGGTATGGAGGATCACGTTAGGTGCGGCTAGATCCTGTTGGTCGAGGCCCTTGAACCGTAACTTTGCCTTGCCATCGATAATTCTGGCGAGCACCTCCAAGCGGTATACCTCGTCAAATGTAGCGGCGACGGGGGCGGGTCCTGTATATAGGTCACGGATGCTCTTCCCCGGAACGTACTCGATAAGGATAAGGTGTACCGGGCGGGACTGCGGCGGCGTCTTCTTGCCTATCTGGAGGTTGGCGGTGAAGGTATATGAGCCAAAGTACTTGGGTGTAAAGTGTCTGGCCTGGCCGACGGCCTGTAGATGCTCGTACGCGGTAGCCTCGCGGCTGTAGTCCTCGTCGGCAAACCTCGTGACATCGTAGGGTACGCTCGGCACGTCTTTGTGAGAAAAGGAGTAGTACAGCGGGTCGTAGATCTTAGCCACTGCCTGAAAACCATCGCCAGTAAGGTCCATTGGCTTGATGGTGTAAAGGACTACTTGGGCCCCTCGGCCGTCGATGACGGCGAGCTCGCAGTCCACGGACAAGGTCTGGATGTGCGGGGAGGGCGGGTCTGCTGTCTCGAGGGGCGGGTTGGCCATCACGAGCTCGGTCGGCTTAAGGGACCGCAGATCATGTTGAGACACGGCAGCTCGTGGTCCGCTACCATAGTCTCGTCCGCCAAAGGGAGCGGGCGGTACGTGGCTCTTGACGTTGACAGTGAAGCCGTCTCGGTAGGAGCAGGGGGTTTGTCCGGGTCCGCAGGCGGCCGCCATGGCTGGACCTGTAGGACCACGGGTTTGCTTCGCGGCGGCGGCGACGGCATAAGAGGCAGCTCCAAAGACAAGCAGAGCCGCAACAGCGGAAACTTGGACACAAGGCAAGTCAAAGTGACACGCGGAATGTCGCGTGACTGAGAGCGGGTGGACTCGGAGGAGTAGGTGGTGATGGTGGGGAGAAGGACAGACTGGTCTTTGAATTAAAGTGAATGTAGCTGGGTGCCTGGATGGAAGGAGGAATTAGGTACAAAGAGGTGGCTCCGTTTGTTGTGAGGTGCGGCGGTTTAACTTTGTCAGGATACAAACACAGCTACAAAGCCGTCCGAGCCTGCAGGCCGAAACCCCAGCCCAGGGAGTGGTCCAAAATATTGAACCCCGCTTCACCCCCGGTCAACCAATTATAAGCATGAGCCACTCAGACGGGCGGGTGGCGGGCGGGTGGCGACCTTGACGGGCCATACCCGTCACACATGAGACGAAGGGGGTGCAGTGCGGGAGGATCTTTCAGACACACCCAAACTCTCCCCCAAAAACAGGTACCAACCTGGGACCAGACAGCGGCTGGCTTGGCCTGTCTGGTACTTGCTGGGCCTGATTGGTCTGCTGAGGCTATAGACCCAACAGTGTATCCGCCCGCGCTAGAGGACTCGCTGGTTGACTTCCGAAGACATCCGGAGACCGGAAATAGCATGTCGAGTGTGTCGGGGCTCGTTGGCCTGGATGGCGATACTTGTGTAAAGTGTAGACGTGTGGTCGGTCTGACGGTCTCCCTGAAACTGAATGTCTAAAACTAGAATTTGAGCCTCGGCTACTTGGACGCCGGTTCAAGGTTGCCGTTACCTATAACTATCATATTAGCAGCTTTCGCCTGCCTCTCCAGGACCAAATATAGACTGTCTCTATCGCCACTTGTTCTTCCATCCATCGATCCAGCCATTGATCTAGCCACGTACCCTACCCCGAACCTTCAACCTACCAAATCGACGACTAAGCCACCTACCTACCTAGGTACCTACGCAAACATGACCCAAGCTGTACCCCTGTCCCAGGCGTTTGCTACCGAACTCCCAACCTATTCCAATCCCCACGGGCAAGTTAAAGCCAGCATCTCGGGCGATTCAACTCGGAATGCCGATCCGCCCTACTTCTCCATTGCCGCCCAACCTGTGCACGCAGTCCACCAGGATTGGGCCGCTCTTGGCAGGGCCACCGTTGCCAATATCCCCAACATCAACGCGCCCGCTCATCCACTAAACCAGGAGTTCCTCTATCTCTCCGAGGACGCCACCTACCACAACAGCGAAGGCGATATCGTCTGCTCCGCCGCCAAGTATTTGCTCCACCCGGTCAACCAGGCCCTCTGTTCCGTCCCTGACTGTTGCTGATCGATCTCATGTTTTTCTGTGCCGCCACGTGTTCGAATGCAGAGTTTTGCGAACCTCGCTTCCCTCACCATGCATCCACCGACAGCACCGACTAATGTTCTGTATCCTGATCACTGTTCGTCATCACGGAATCGTGCAAAAAACCGCCTCCGAAAATGACGGTCATTGAAACCACGGCAGAATCGGGTCATGGCATCGCTGGGAAGACCGACCTTGACATTGCCGGGGAACGTGACAAGTGCGTCCAGGTACTGCTTTTGTAGCCTCTGATCTGCTCATGTATAACTACCGAATACCCGCAGCTTCCCGTATGCCGATTCCAGCAACCCGGAGCCATTCGGCAACTTGATGGCCTCGACATGGACCTTCTTCATTCCACACTCCCCAAATCCCTACGGCTATCTGACTTCATCCACCGTCGAGAAGATGCCGTGGACCGCCGACTTCCGGCTCGCCCCCGAGACCGAGGGCGATACCACTACTTCACGAGCGTGTGAGCTGGCCATGGCCAAACTGATTGCCCAGGCCAGAGAAAAGAACTTGTTCCCCGAACCCGGAAAGCGTAGCCGAGAGCTCTATCCAATCCTCGGGGCTCCATACCTCCTCCGCTTTGACCGCAAAGCGCATGCCTTGTTTGGCATTGTCACCCGCGGCGTCTACTTGACCGTCTACACACGCGTGGCCGGCGAGATGCGGCTCTGGATTTCCCAGCGAGCGCTGGACAGGCCGGTGTATTCCGGATTGCTCGACAACTCGATCGCTGGCGGCGTCGGAGCAGACGAAACCGTGTTGGACGCCCTGGCGTGGGAAGCGGGCGAAGAAGCTGGCCTGGACGAGGGACTCGTGCGTGACGGCGCCAAGGCTTGCGGCACCCTCACCTGGATCAACATCAAGGATGAGAGATCTGGGAGCCCGGGAATGCTCCATCCCGGGATCCAGTATATCTACGACCTCGAGGTCGAGGACCACGTCACTTTCCGACCTGTCGACGGTGAGGTGGAAAAGTTCAACCTGTGGGATGTCCCCACAACCAGGAAGGCAATGGCGGAGCGGAAGCCCAAGCCAAGTTGCGCTTTGGTAGTGTTGGACTTCCTCATCCGCCACGGCATCATCACCCCGGACGAGGAGAGAGACCATGCTGAGATTGTGTCGAGGATGCACCGCAGGTTGCCCTTTCCAACTTGCCCTTTCCAACCAGGGGTTGCAGAGTTGAACCAGACTCGCGAGGAGATGACGCACCCTAGAATAGGTGCCTGGCTGGCATACACGCCGGGGTCGTTCTTATGAAGGGATTCTCAGAGGGAGGACGACGAGACGGCGTAGCACGCGGCCGACTATTACAGCTGCCTGATCTACACATGAAACCCCAAAAATAGCACTGCCAATCATCCAACTTACTAGGGCCCCCTCTGGGCTTCCCTCTTTGGTTCATTGCCTCTGGCCACATTACAGTTCGGCCTGGCCTAATCGCCGCGGTCTCAAATAATTCCCACAGACCTTGTCAGTTGCGGCTGGATATCGAGTGTCATCGCAGCGGAAACGTCCCGCTCGTTTCATACTATCGAACGAATCTCGCCCAATGTCGGTCCGGTTGTAATAAATGCTATGCAGAATGAAAACACCGACGGTCCTGCCAAGGCCTGTGAAGCGGCAACGTGTCTGAGGCCCCCCCCATTCTGGTTCGCCACACCAAGCGTATCCACCATGGTCCTCTGCGTCTCGCTCAAGCGAAACCGGGCTCCCGTCTCACATCCTTGCCTTGAAGATTACTGTACACACGATGCAAATCGACGTCGGACCACTGCCAATGAACTCACAAGAGTCCTGACCCCGTGGCCGGTGGCAGCGGACACAGGCCCCACCAGAAAGCCAAACGGGGGATTCGTGCTTCTGGGCGAGGAAGTGGCGCACACCAGAGTCGCTTCCCAAAGACATCTCCCTGAAATTACAGACAAGCGGGATGACTCCTTTCCACAAATGTGACAGGGCTGTTTTTTGACCGCATCGGGGAGGCGGAAGCCCCCTTGTCGCAGAGACCATGTGTTATTGAGGCCATGTGCAGAGAAGTCTGGAAGCGTATGGGGGGTCGAGGCCCGTAGTCTCGCGACCAACGACGTCTTGTTGGCGACTTGCGTTAGCTTTGCTTCGATGGGCGCGCGTCGTGGTTGGCGGGGCAGGTGATGCCATTCGTTCGCCAAGATGGCATTTGTTGCATACTGATTCACTGTTGAGAGTTTTTCTTCGCCAACTAGATAAATGTGTAATCACATCCTGGTAACCCATTGCTGATGAAAGTTTGACAAAAAGGTGCTTGGGAAAGGGTCAAGGGGATGACACCAAGGGCAAATGGTGATGATCACGGTTATCCAATCCGCCACGCGGCATCCAAAAAGAGCGGTCAGAGATCTGAGGAGGGAGAAGAATGCAGATGTAAAAAAGAGCGGAAATCGGCTCAACAGTGTCTTTTGAAGGAGGGGAAGAAGGGCCTGGCTGGTGTGATGCCTACGACTCTCGCAAAGAAATACAGTGGAAGAAGGACAGCTTGTGGGCTGCCGTTTGTCAGATGTTGTCCCTTTCCTGAACTTCAAACATCACGCCGTCCGCGGCCGTCGTGTGAATGGACCAGCCTGGGGTATTACGAAACGCTTAGAGGGTTGGAACAAACCCAAAACCCAAAGGTCGCGGTGCTGCTGCCGTACTCATCTCAATCAAGTGGATATCACAAGGCTTTGTCAAGCGGCTTCCTGCTGTCGAGCAAAATCTGCAAAAGGGCGTCCGTTGACTCCGTTCCTCCGCACCCGTTACCCCTTCCGTTATGTCTCGGATTTTCCCTTCCCTCCCTCTTCCCCTTCTCCTTGTTCTCTTAGGTGACCACAGTGGTTCCTGCAATAAAGAAGCAGCGAAGTGGGAGCTAGAAAATTATTGGAATTAATACATCCATCTCCTTCACGAGCGCGGGATACCTAATTACCCTGCCATGAAGGTTGTGGCCTGTGTGGGCTGCTGTCTGAGGCCACCAATATGCGCTGGACGCAAACAGCGAAAGAAAGCACTCAAGCATGCACCCGGCCTTTATATGAGGCTGTTAATTAGCACCTCCAGCTTTTGAAAAATCGCTTTCACTGCACTGCACTGCCCCTTTTTTTTGACAGTCACCCTTAGATCATGCACCCATCCTCATAACAGTATGATACTTTACGCTGGTGGAAACCCGGCGTAAAAAAAAACCAAAAAAAACCAAAAAAAACCTTTCCTTAGTCAAGCCTTGGATGCAGAGGACATCACGCCAATCCCCTTCCTGCAATCAACACGCCCTCAAAACACTCTGGACAGCAACGGCCATAAGGAGAAAGAAGTCTGAAGTCCAACCAACAGATGTGGGGAAATCTGAACCACCCCAGCCGCCACCCGCCCACGTGCCGCCTTCCGTTTCCGATCCAGCTTGCCCGGCGGATCCTGAATTGATTCGTACAGGTGGCGGAGCACCTTTTGATTGGTCCAGGTCTGGGCCCTGTTCCGCCCGTGTCAGCCAATCAGGGCTGCACTGTTGCCGAATGCAGGTCTTTTCCGCAAAGGCTGTGTTTTTCCCGGCGCTCACGGCGTGTTTCCGCACCAACCGGGCAATGGGAGCGGCCAGGGGCTTCATCGAGGACCTTCAGGACACAGACAGCTCTGCAATGAAAGAAGAGCTTGAAACTTTAGCGAGGTCGCCGCTGATGACCACCGTCATGGCCAATCATATCCTCCGGAGGTGGCCCCGACTGGTGTAACATCGCCGCAGCAGTTTGTTGCTGACAGCGAACAGTGGTGAACACACTGTCAAACTCGAAGTCAAATGCCATCCTGACCAACATCGGAGGTAGCACCGACACAGAGTCCTTTAATACATTCTGATGAGACCGGTTTCTATTGTGCAGCATCACACCGTCGCATAACCCCTCTAGACCCACCCCGTCGACCTCTCTCAGCCATCACTTGGGTCGGTGGAGGTGGATTGTTAGTGGCGGGAGCGGTGTGCTGCCAAGTTGAGCTGGCGCCGATTTGGCAGCGAGGATGACCCGGACGCGTCATCTTCGCCAAGGGGATCTGTCCCAGGCATCGAGTAGGCCTCCTATCAGTCCCCACGAGCGTGATCTGCCCTGCGTGGCCGCCTCTCCGCCTGTGACTTGTGCTACCATGTCTCGCTATGGCCAAAAAAAGCGGCATACCAAGTCCCTGGATAACTTACTTTGCTAAGAAAGTGACAAAAGACAAAAAGAATAATCAAACAAAATTTACCAAGATTTGATCGAATGTTAATGGATTGGACTTGAGCTATCTGTTTGAGTGTGCCACTTTTTTTTTGGCCACAGCGAGCATGTCCTAGTAACTGTCGTATGGAGTGCTGCCGCCATAACCGAAGATCGGGCTGATTCTAGGGATTCTTACATCCCTAGGTACCTAGCTGGCTCAAGCCACGTAAATGTCGGGAGCTACCTCCCAAGCTTCTCTTCCTTGGTCCGTCTTCCTGCCTGATATCCGCTCATACATGCATGTGATGTAGGGAACAGCCATCACCCCTAGCTACAGGTAGACAAAGATGAATGCCCGGGTCCCCACTATGGTTCGCTCATCACCACCCTCATGAAACGCTTGGGTACAACTATCGTCCCATTCCACCTCGGTGACGCGACTCCCTCCCAGCGTGGTTTGCCCCTGCCATGTGGCGAGTTCCCTCATGAAGCGACCCTCGAAGACTTGCTGCACAGGAGGAAACCTCTTGCCCCTTTTTAATTCGTACAGGCCGAGTCTCTCCAAGATTTAGGCATGGCATACAAGGGTGGCAAAGTTGCTGATGTAATCTATGGACTTCATCACATACCTCACGGAGCTGGGGCAAGAGGTCAGGACTTGCCCAGTCCATATGCATAAGAAGCGCCTTGTTTCCAGTCCAATATGGATGTTGTACTGTTATAAATGGCGTCGCTGTTCATATCGAACTGCTTTCAGTTCCAGATCTCAGCATCAAAGCCTAGCAATACTTCCCTGATGCTTGAGATGGTGTGGGAAGGTTCCTGGTCATCGACCACCGCCGCGTTGAGCATCTAGATTCTATACGCCGTTTCCCCGACGCGACCTAGTCAAACACCGGTACCAGATTGGTGTTTTCGCCGTTTGAAGTCCTTTTGCGCATGGAAAAATGCGTCTTTGGTTTAGTGATGGCCGGGGCATCGAAGAAATCATTGGTATCAACGGATGTGCATAAGCGCACCGTTCTCCTGACGCAAACCAACCTTTGAATGATGACTAATTACAGACAGTCGGGAGAGGTGGTCATCTCATTCTCCACGCCCAGGGCCGTGGTAATTTCGGTCTTGACACTTGGTACCCTGTCCCGTGAGAACCCATTGTTTGCATCGTTCAGGTACAAGATACAGTCGAGGAATGAGGCGTTCTTCTTGCTGATCGCTTGATGCCTCGCCATTCTTTGACTGTCAGATTGTCCTAATCCGTAAGCGCCATAAATCTATTCCCAAAAAAGAACAGTCAACCTGGAAACGTCCTCGGCATTACCCATGTCCCAACATTTTCTCCTTCGCTAACCCACCACTGCCCACGAAACCGACGCCTCCCTCAAGTCGGATGTTATCCCCCGTTTACCAAACCCGCAACTCTAAACCCGTCGTCCACAGCTACAGGCCCACAGCAAGATCCATCCCTAGTATCACCCGGCCACTCGGCACCTCTCGCTCGCAGCAACCTCGTAGCCCCTCTACTTAGGCCATCCGTTCCCTTCGCCAGATCCCCGTGGAGAAGAGACATAACCTTTAGCAACATGACCCAAATTCGAAACTCCAGCTTGCCAACACAGACGGAGTTGTCCAGAGTTAGCTTTTAGCCCCTCTATTGCTCAGCAGTTTGACAATAGCTTCGTCGCCGCGTTCAGTGGCCTGAGCAAGTAGTGTCTTGCCATCTTTATCCTTCGCTTCGAAATTGGCACCTTTATCAAGCAATAGCTTGACAATGGCCTCGTGACCGTGTCTAGCAGCCCAGGTAAGTGGTGTATTGCCATCTCCATCCTCCACTTCAAAATCGGCACCTTTATCAAGCAATAGCTTGACAATGGCCTCGAGACCACCTATAGCAGCCAGGGCAAGTGGTGTTTGACCATCATTATCCCTCACTTCGATATCGGCACCTTTATCAAGCAATAGCTTGACAATGGCTTCATCACCAGCCAGGGCGAGTGGTGTTTGACCATCATTATCCCTCACTTCGATATTGGCACCTTTATCAAGCA